CACCACATTAATGACTCGGTCTAACTACGTTGCATACGATAGCTGTCGACGGAAGCCGTGCTGCTCGGGTATAATAATGTTACATTTTTTCCAGATAGCGCGCCAGCGGATCGGCCACGATTGAGTCCATGATTTTGGACAACATAAGGAGAAGATATTATGCTCAGTTCTGCTTCAGCCTTTGTGAACCGGTTAGTGTTCCTAGCTTCTACATAGCAGAAACCTGGTTGGGGCCTAAGAAACGCCGGAAAAACTGAGCCAAATGTTCTGCCCGTTGTTTTACTGCTGCTCCCAGTGGATCTGGACGAATGTTATCATGATCCGGGGAGCTGTGGTTGAGCAAAGAGGTTAGCTACTGCAACATAGCTTCAGCGGTAAAAATATGATATAGGTGAGTCCTGTCAGCGAGATGACAAAAGCTGGATGATTACTGGATAGCAAGACTCTCCGACAGGGGGGTACATTGCATCGGCAACGCGTTTGCTGCTTCCATAGCCGTTCTTGTTGAGCCATCAGCCGTTCTAAGTGGTTGAAATCTTTGTCTCACCCTTCGTAAACTATTGACGTGCTTGTACACAGTTTGGGGTTGGTGATGAAGATATGCGGTTTTATCATCTCTGAACAGTTAAATGCAGTGGTTACGTTGGGCCCCGTAGTTGTACCATGTTTCTTGTGTTGAAGCTACTCTATACGCCCGCCATGCTACTTTGCGTACTAACATCAATTTTCGAGTTCGGCTCCTAACGATAGAAAGTGGTTTAGACCCATTGTAAACTCTTGTCACTGAAGCATCTGTAACCAACCAACTGAATTAACTGATGAACTCGAGTCCGGCGAATTCCGGGGGTTCCACGGCAAGGAACGACCAAGTTGTGGCGCTGACGAACTGGGCTAATCGATCGTGGCGTCTGATTGTCCTCACTGTCTCATAGTTCTCATTAAAATATTTCACATAGCAGTCGAAGTTGTGACTAGTGACTGCATGATAACTGCGACCCCTTGGATAGTCTACGGGGCTGAACGTATGTCCGCGTTTGCGACACACTTTGCTTCCGTATTTGCAAATCGCAGTGCGCTATACGGAGTTCGACATGTGCAACACCAACCTAACTCTTCATCTTGGATTGCGGTGTCGAAGACTTATGCAATCTACTTGACAATCTTCGCGACGAGAAGCCAACTGATTCTGAGCGACTTCACCCGCTTATTTTCAATTCGTTTTACGCGATCATCTTGCTTTCCGTAACTGACCTGTTCAACGGATTGCTGTCCGTAGGTGCGTGGCTTAATAATCGAAAATGCTCGGTAGAGAAGTCGATTCCGAAAAGCGGTGACACGCCTCATTACGAGGCCACCATTTGAAGTTAACGACACAGTATATCCAGTTGGAATTTCAGAGGGACGTTTTCTAATTTCGCGTATCCCAGTCGTGAAACTTACTTCCGCATGCGGTCATCTCTACTCCTACGTTAGCGGAAGTAAAAACCCGACTTGTCGATGCATTACACTATTCGTGTTAAGTGATCTAACGCAATTATCCTGGACACAGAATGAAATAATGATATTACGTGTTCATGTAAATATTTTGCAATAGTTCAACGGTTATGTGTCATTTTTCTTGTTGCGTTCATTTTGTTATCACTCTGCCATCGGAAAATATTGGCGTTCCAATTGTAATTCATGATAAATCCATTGCTCCAATAACCTGCCAAGTCATCTAACCACTGTTTCTTGTCAAGGTAATTAAGTTACTCAATGCGAAGGGTCTACTGTAGCTACTGGAGTTAAAGCACCTCGTGACGCCGAAGCAGCATGGTTTCAAGAAATCCGATCTTGAATCCCCAATCTGTTGGTGACGTGGCATGGATGACTGCAAGCGTTGAACCAGGAGGAGTCATTCAACGTTATTTAGTTAGATTTCACTTGATAGTGGTGTTGTTAGCTCATTGCACCGGTGGATCAATGACTTTCTCGTTGAGCGAAAATTGGGGGCACAATGGGGTGATTATCTAACTGGATGGAATTCTTCTACTTTTGCGTACTGGGATCCGTTTTGTTCCTGATCAACCGCAACGATGTACTTTAGCATCTTCTGTCACCTTGTGGTTTGTTTGCAGATAAACTGAAAGTTTGGATAGTAACTAATGGTACCGACGATCCCGACGTATTTCAGCGTGATCTAGACCGTCTTTCCATATAAATAACTAAAGAATAGGTGTATTTCTCAACATTGCGAAACAGAGTGCTGACGTGGTCTGATCATACTGTACAACCTAAGCACCTAGTGAAGAAAATTGTCTAAGTGTAACGATGTTTCATCTGAATTGTTGGGAATTTACTATCAATTAAAACTAGTGCAAGAAAGAGCTGATAGTAAAAAGAATTGTAAGAATCGTCATCAATTCAATTATAGTAGTACGACCATCCATGGAATCGACCCTGGGGACCTGCTTCCATGCGGGATAGTACCTCGAGAGGTTTCATCCACACTACAACGTCTCATCTTGCCATGTGTTGTTGGGCTTTAAAGCAGATAAGCCTCATTATTTTAATGCCTTTAAGTTATTTTTTAATATTTTTTGTATTTTGTGGCTGCAAATATATGCTGTCATCATATTGGCACTTGCTTTTTGGCCACTATTACACTGGCTTGCCGAACAACCTCCTCGTGGTGCCAGCTGAGTGGTTCGGAATTTTCCCGTTCTAGCAAATGGTTCG